GGAAATTACTTAATTCTGTCCATTCATATGTCATTCTATTTGCCTATAAACCGTGTAGTGAACAAGACTCCTCCTACATCGTTTTGTAGATTTTATTGAAAGTTCACAATTTTGAACAGCACGTAAATGTAGAGATTGTATTCAAGATAGATACAGTCAGCAATTCAAATTAATCACAACAGTCCTACAACTGAACTTTTAAGTTATGTCAATGTATGCCTGACACTTATTGCAGAAATGAGATCTTCTCAGTATTAGGGAACCAAAAAAATTCCAAATGAAATTACAGCATGTGAAGCATTATAATGTTGGAAAAAAATTACTTAAGCTTAGATTTGTATAGTTAGACTATCTACTTATTCACACATTAAGCGTGCCGTTAATTAATTTATCAACACAACACAACTTCACACCTGATCTAATTTGCCATACGTTTAAATAATTCTAGTAGATCAATTACAAAATAATATTTACAATTAAATTTTAAATATAACTTTAATAAAATGCTTCGCTGAGCGCAGCCTGAAACGACCGCAGAGGTCGAACCCTGAACAGTTGGGGCAAGTTTGGACACAATATGCAAGCTTGATACTGTCTGAATTTGGATTGTGATCAAATTTTTGACATAATATAGGTTTCTGACATAAAATAAATGAGGTCAGAGATCTTAAAAATCTATTGCGCAATACTGAAGATTTCTGCTTGAAACTTTTCAAAACATTTGAAATTTCAAAAATTTTGATGAAAAATATATGAACCCTCCAAAAAAATTGAAGAAAAAAAATCCCCCCAATCTTTTTGACCCCCTTGGAGTAATTACTCCAAACTCAATCCCAGCCTTCCCTTTGTGGTATGGAACCTTGTGGTACAATTTCATAGATATCCATACACTTACACACAAGTTATTGTCTGGAAACTACAAAAATGCTTGTTTTTGGCCCCTTTTTAGCCCCTAATTCCTGCATGTTTGGGGCAATTACCCCCATACTCAATCCCAGCCTTCACTTTGTGATATGGAACCTTGTGGTACAATTTCAGAGAGATCAATACACTTAAACCAAGTTATTGTCTGGAAACTACAAAAATGCTTGTTTTGGCCCCCTTTTTAGCCCCTAATTCCTAAAATTTGGAGGCAATTACCCCCAAAATCAATCCCAGCATTCCCATTGTGATATGGAACCTTGTGGTACAATGTCAGAGAGATCCATACACTAACACACAAGTTATGTCTGGAAGTTACAAAAATGCTTATTTTTGGCCCCTAATTCCTAAACTGTTAGTACCATAACCCCCAAAATCAATCCCAACCTTTCTTTTGTGGTATTGGACATTCTTGTAAAATTTCATAGAGATCCATTCACTTTAATTAAAGTTATTATCCGGAAACCAAATGTGTCTTCGGACGACGACGACGCAAACGACGGCGACAACATCATAGCATTATACGAACCCCAAAAAATGTTTGCGGTCGTATAAAAATGGAACACTATCATGCTAAAAAAAAATATTGGTTACGAGTTGGTAGAAGTAAGAGTTGGTAAAAATAGGGTACGAGTTGGTTAAGTACGAGTTGCCGAAGGTACGAGTTGACATGTATCCTTCAAAAAGCGCGCCGGTGTCAATCATTCTATTTATTAAAATCGATATATGTCGAAACAACGCAACAAACCATTTTCTAGTATATCGATATATCGTAATATAAGAAACATATAGCGGTATTGTTCTCGAAATATTGAGATAAATATAATTGCTAAATTGATTGTCATTTTTAATCGATATAATTATATTCGATTATAAATTGTATCGACATAAATATATCGACATAAATATATATCGACAAATAAATTTGTTCAAAGTTTTGATTTTTCTACCCTATATACCACTTTGCCTCATAATTTTATTAAGAAAAAATTCAAACACCTGATTAAAAAAGTCGGAATGCGAATATATATGTTCAAACTCTTTTAGGTCATTTTTAGTAACAACAAACAAAAGAAACATGTCAATTGGACCTGCTTTGATACTATAACTGCCCTTGAATTTTTACTAGATAACATTTTTGTTCGCTATGGAGATTCCGTATATCGTCAAGTTATCGGAATTCCCATGGGGACTAACTGTGTACCTCTTATTGCGGACCTGTTTCTGTATTGTTATGAGTTACAATTTATGACTAAAATCAGCAAAGACCCTTCGAAACAACATCTGATTCAAAAATTTAATAACACTTTTAGATATTTAGATGATATATTGGCTCTCAATAATGACGACTTCAGTATGTACACTAAAGATATTTATTCGGCCGAACTGACTTTAAATAAAGCTAATACTAACAATGAACACTGCCCTTTCCTGGATCTTGATATTTATATCTTTAACGGAAAGCTTAATACCAAAATTTATGATAAAAGAGATGATTTTTAATTTCCTATTGTTAATAATCCATTTTTAGATGGTGACGTTCCTTTGTCGCCATCTTGTGGTGTTTATATATCTCAACTTGTTCGATTCGCTCATGTATGTAACAATGGATTTGATTTCAACGAAAGAAACCTCTGTGTTACTGAAAAATATTACACCAGGGTTTTCGATATCAAAAACTAGTCAAAACATTTACTAAATTTATCATCGGTACAAGGACATCATTCGTAAATATAAATCAACATGCAGACATCTTATACGTTCGGGTATTTCACATTCAATATTTTATGGTAATATTCTTCACAAAGCACAAAAATGTCGGTGTTCACCTCAAAAGCTAACCAAACCTTTAAACAGACTTATTCGGAAAGGTAATCGTTACGATACTGTTGTCAAGTCATTAAGGATTGTATATTTTGGTATTAATATTGATTCACTCATAGGGTCTTTGCATCGGAAATAAACACATTTATTCTAAAACCGGTAATTGGCATGATACGGGTTATATTCTCCTCATATATTTTATGATGGTATGATACTAAACCCCTTACGGGAGGGATTGTACTTGATTTTCATATGATGAAGACATAATCTTTCAATCAGTTTAATTGGGGTCTGGAGCTGGCATGTCAGTAACTGCTAGTAGTCCTTTGTTCATTTATGTATCATTGTCATTTTGCTTAGTTTCTTTTGTTACCTATTCTGACATCGGACTCGGACTTCTTTTGAACTGAGTTTTACTGTGCGTATTGCTATGTGTTTCTTTATTCTACATTGGCTAGAGGTATAGGGGGAGGGTTGAGATCTCACAAAACATGTTTAACCCCGCCGCATTTTTGCGCCTGTCCCAAGTCAGGAGCCTCTAGCCTTTGTAAGTCTTGTATGTTTTTTTAATTTTAGTTCATTTTATATGTTTTGGAGTTTAGTGTGACGTCCATTTTCAGTGAACTAGTACACAATTGTATTTAGGGACCCGCTGAGGACCACCTCCGGGTGCGGGATTTTCTCGCTGCGTTGAAGACCCATTAGTGGCCTTCGGCTGTTTTCTGCTCTTTGGTCGGGTTGTTGTCTCTTTGACATATTCCCCATTTCAATTCTCAATTTTATTATCTACTTCAATTCAATATTTTTGATATGCTACTTATACGTGACTGTTATGAGTAGAAAAATAACGCAAATATAGTAAACTCCGATATTCTCTAATATGAAAATAAATTAAGGAAACTTCCAAGAAATCGCTTTGAATTATCTAAAGAATACTAATCGTAAAAAACAAATATCTGAATGACCATATCATAATTTTCTCATATTTGCCAATGGGAGTTCTTGAAAAAAAGGCAATTTTGAGCAACAATAGAACTAATACATATCAAATAAAATTGAAAATGGAAATGGGGAATATGTCAAAGAGACAACAACCCGACCGAAGAGGGTGAAAACAGCCGAAGGCCACCAATGAGTCTTCAACACAGCGAGAAAATCCCGCACCTGGAGGCGGGCTTCAGCTGGCCCCTAAACAAAAATGTGTACTAGTTCAGTGAAAATGGACGTCATACTAAAGTTAAATCAAAGGAAAAAGATTTTAAACAACAAAAAGATGAGGACTGTATAGTAATAGAGTATGAATAGACAACCCCCTCACCTGAACAGGTTTTAAGTCAACCTTTACAGGGGCATTAGCTACGAGATATACAAAATAAAAAATAAAATATGATTTTTTGTTTGTTCAATCATTAATGAAAGTGAAACAGTGAATTAATAATTCGCTTTTAGCAGCCAGTTTGGTTCAATTTTGTCAATATAAGCAGAAACATCGCCGATGAATTATTCACTTGCAAGTGAATAATTCGACCTCATTGAACCTGTATTCATGTGACCTTTAAGTTAACCCCTTATATAACTATAGAGATGGGTTACGCATAAACTAGGCGTGTTCAGCTATTAAAACTGAGGAAAAGAATATCAACATTGAAAGTGAAACAAGGGTAAACTATTTTGTTGACTGATTCGATCAACAAAAACTCATTCTTATATTTTAACCTTAAACATTAAATCAAACAGACATAGAAAAATCCAACTGCACGTGTTCGGTATCTATTTATATCTATATTTATCTTTAAGTCGGGTTATATGACCGTCGGCAGTCTTCGAATGTTACTGACCTCGATGGTTAATTAGATGGCGTCTAGACTAAAATACACACGGAATTCTGATACATACTATCGAATCCATGCATCGTAAATTGTTTATTTTAGACTTTTTTTAATTTGGATATACGTTTCATTATGTTATAAATCAATTTGAGTCAAATCAGTGAACATGAATTTGACCGTGAGCTAATCCGCGATGCCCCTTTAAAGTCCTAAATATATATGGTGGAATACCAGAAGTTTAAAATAGAAACGCATTTCTACCCCTAAAGTTATACAAGTATTTGAAAAGCTAATACTTGTAACACTTGTATTTGAATATGTATAGTATAGGGAAAGTCGATTTCCCGGCCCCTGAAATGGAAATGAGTAAATTACAAAAACGAACTCTCCCATTTATTCAATTTTATTTTAAACTGGTTCCTGGTTTCACTAATTTTTTAATGCATTTCATCCCAATAGAAACCACGTGGGGTATGCTTAGGATATCAGTAGATCACTAACGGTGCCAGCGACATATTATAGGAAGACCGCACTGCAGCACAAAAATGGGAGTAGAAGTTGCAACAACTACACCTGGAGATGGTAAAGTTATTGTGTGAAAATCTCCAATTTGAATTACGCAAGTTATAGGATACAATGGTGTTTGAACGTAACAATTGATTTGGAGCACGTGGGCCTTGGTTGATCCTAGCCGGTTCGGGCTTATTTGGTTTTTTCTTCAGGAAATGATTACGGATGCTCGAACGGGGGGTCCTTTAACATGTTAACTTGGTCTACAATTGGAGCAATCGGGATATATAAGCTTATAGCTATCAAGATTATCTCCCTTTGGTAATTTTGGATATTTCAGTTTGCATAATTTATAAACAGACTCAAAAACACAAGAAGTCCTGATCACTTAAAAATAACCATTAAACATATCCTTTCAAATATGAAAAATACAAGTATTTTAACATGAAATAGCTACGGATAGCTGTGTTTTAAAAGAATGATATCAAGAACCGTAACTCTATTTCCATTCTACATGTATGTATCTGTATCCTCGTGTATTGTGTTTTCGACCTACTTACATATACAAATGTATATCATTAGAATATAGCAAAGTACTCTTGACCAATGAAATTGCAGGATTGGATGCCTCTTAATTGTGAAAAAGTAATGTAAATCATGTTCTTAGTAAGGGATAATTTTATCCTATTATTTGGGTCTATTTACAGTTCAAAACAAAGAGTTTCTATAAATGAGTTACAACTGCCCTGAAGCACATTTATCAGATTGAAAGGATTTTATATCACACAGTGATTGAAACTGACTAAAAGTTGAATTGTGAAACTAACAAAAATCTCAAAATAAGTTGAGGTTTACTGGTGCAGTAAAATTGGTACCGTCAATGTTATTATGAAAATATTATTAACTTCAAATTACTATAAAATAAACAATACCAAAGCAATGCAAAAAAAAAAAAAGAAAAAAAATCTTTCAGAAAAAAAATGATCTAAATCAAGCTTTCCAAAACTTTGATTACTTGATCAGCGGTTGGGGAGAATAGTTATTTCCAATACATGTATTCCGATAAAAAAAACAGGAATTTAATTTTTAACATATTAAAAACTTTTAAGGGCATTATTTTTGAACATTTCCCTGACATAATGAAACAGTATTTGATGTAAAAAGCCGGATCAAATTATTGGCAGTGAAATAAAATTTAGTTGTAACTCAAATGTATTAATTGATTTAAACTGTAAATAAAAAAAGGATAATTCTTCACTAAAATATTACATGATTTAAATTCATACTCACAATCAGGAAACATACAATGTACAATTCCTACCTTTTCTTTCTACTGTTGTGTCACCTAATATCTATAACGCATTTTAAAAAAAAAAATTTCCCAAATGATACGAAAGTCCTCACATCACTAAAACTAATCCATAAATGACATGCCGAAAAAGGAAGTCATGCATCAATTATAAACATTGCACTGACAATGAAACTAATTCTTGAATAGATCATTTGAGCCTTGAGCACTTTACAATATTCTAAGTTTGTAAGAGAATGATAATCCCTTACTTCATGATAAGTACTCGCTAACGCTCGTACTTATTCATGAAGAGAAGGATTATCATTCTCTTACATATACATATTTCCCCTTTTATATGTTTGAACATATACATGCCTAATATTTTTTAGAGTCACTAGTATACTTTTACATTAAATAATTGTATCTAAAATATATTTTGATCTTAAATATTTATTTATTTGAGATCATTAGATCGATGGCACCTTTGTTGACAAAAACTAGCGTCTTGTGTTTTCGACCTATCTAAGAAACGGGTCCAAAGTCAGAAATGACATGTCGTACAAATCCGGAATTGGTTATAATTTGATGCCAATGTTTATATCAAGTTATTTGAAGTTTTAGAGGCGATTAAACTTATGACTTAATGAATTAAATGGTGACAATATACAACTATAAGATATAAAATATTATTTTGATATCTTTATTTGACTAGTTGTACACATTTCACATGAGGCACTTTGGAAACTTTGTAGAACCTTGTATACAGTCATGTTTCTGTTCAATATACTTTAGTGAAGGCATTGTGAAGTGAGGTTGGTGAGTATTGCCTGTAATCTCCCCTGACAGACTGCTGTTTCTGTGAATTAAAATTAATTGATATTTTATTTTTTTCAGCAAAAAGCTGTGAGGATCATCCACATTTCCGTATAAAAAATAACTTTAAGTATTACAACTAACCACATGACAGTCATGTGACGTAATGACCTTGATGTTAACTTCACATGCTAAAATCCTCGGCCATATTTCTAGAATATTTGTTTATTTTTGATAGATTCTTGTGGAAGGTAAAAATAGTATTAGTGAAAAGGTACAAAAATGTGATATCAAATAAAATAACGTAAATACTTAATTATAATAACTTTACTTGAAATATCTTCATCACACGTGGTATTATTTGCTATTATTACTAAATATAGCAGCCAAATGTGACGTCACACGGGCATGCGCAGCATACAGGAAGTGAAAGTAGAATTAGGTCGAAAACGTAAGACGGTCGAAAACATAATACGAGTCGATATGTGTAAGACAAAGACGAAAGTTTTATTTAAAGTTACTACATTTCAACACAAATAACATAATGTAATCTCTGCAGAAATTTTAACTGATGCATTACCTATATAGGTGTGAATTTATTCTCATTTTCATTAAAAGAAAATTTTTGTTGTTGTCTCAACTCTTAACATTTAATTTGATATACATGTAGTTGTCCTGCTAAATTCAAAATTCTGATTTTACAGCGAGACCATCATAACGCAACACTTATCTTGTCCTTTTAATGTTGTTTTTTTTTTTCCACTGTTTATATTATACTTATAGTGTTATCTAACATGTCTAAAGCAAAATACCATGTCACAATGTCTTGTGTATTATCATACAATACAGAGAGGCAGTTTTATTACCAAAGAAGCATGACATTGTTTGTTTTTGAAACCAAATCCTTGTAAGCGAGTGTGTCCATTTTTTAGCTATGCTAATAGTACTTCTAGTTTTGGTCTGACATGGATTAATGATATCCTGCAGTTTTTGATTTTTATGAAATACATGTAGTATGGCCAAACAATCATAAGAGTATACATGTACCTACGTTTATCTTATTTGTCTACTACATGTACATTTTTGTTTTAGGTACAAACTACCCTAAGAAAGGACAGACAGTAAAAGTACATTATACAGGTAAATGCTCTCTAATTATCTCTTAATTTATCAAGTGTAAAAAAGTTCATTTGGAAGGAACAGAAGCAGAAAGTTGTCAAATTTATTTGATTTTGGCTGCAAAATATGAGATTACCAATTTTTGTTTACCAGAAATTTGGAATTTGTCAATCAGACTGCATAATTGTCAAGACAGTCTGGCACATTTCAAGAAGCCTGGCTGCTACTCCTGACCCACTGAACAGAACATTGTGAAACTTTCACAGCTCTTTCTCACCTGTTTTACTTTTGCACCTTCTATTTGAACTTTGGCATGACTTGGACTTTGTTATATTTGTTCATGTACACACGTCAGTAGATGTTTATTTTGCTTCGCATCAGAAAATTTCTCAGAATCATCTCCATTTTGTGCCATTGTGCACCTCGTTACTTTAATTTTGATCCAAATTATTTTTTGGGTTTCACTTTAGCAAATCAAGGAATTTGCTTAGGGCAGAGGTTTGGGTTTGTGAACTCTTAATTTCAGTACCTCTAGCTGGTATGACGTTGTCCCAAGACATTTGGTTTCCAGACAATAACTTGAGTATAAGTGTATGGATTTCTATGAAATTGTACCTCAAGGTTCCATATCTTAAAAAGGAAGATTGGGATTGGTTTTGGGGGTTTACAGGGCTCACACTTCCTCAAAATCATAGGGAGAAGTGACTTCTCTTTTTGAAAGTGGTAGGGAGAAGTGGTAAGATTTGAAAGAGAAGTACTCATTCGCTCGCGGCGCTACAATATTTGGTTTTTACTATAATATAAAGAGCCATATGTATCCTTTTTTATGCCATAGCCGTGGGGGCATTAAGTTTTACCCTTGTCAGTCTGTACGTACATGTACGTACATCCCAAAATTGGTTTCCGTTCTCTGACTTGAGTTTGCCTCAACCAAATGTTATGAAACTTATACACGATGCTTATTACCACAAAACACAGATTAAGTTTGAATTTTGTTGGCGTCTCTTAAACCATTCTAGAGTTACAATGTATGCCTCTTTATAAATGGAAAAATTGCAAAATTTTTATTTTCTTCTAAATACATGTGTATTAAGTAATTTTTATACAACCGCAAAAAAATTTTGCAGTCGTACATTGTATATTGCTATGACGTTGGCACATTAGTTTTCGCACTCTAACTTTAGTTTAAGTGTATGGATCTCTATGAAATTTTACCATAAGGTTCAATACCACAAAAGGATGGTTGGGATTGATTTTGGGGGTTATGGTACCAACAGTTAAGGAATTAGGGGCCAAAAATAAGCATTTTTGTAACTTCCAGACATAACTTGTGTGTTAGTGTATGTATCTCTCTGACATTGTACCACAAGGTTCCATATCACAATGGGAATGCTGGGATTGATTTTGGGGGTAATTGCCTCCAAATTTTAGGAATTAGGGGCCAAAAAAGGGGCAAAAAACAAGCATTTTTCTAGTTTCATGACAATAACTTGTGTGTAAGTGTATGGATCTTTATGAAATTGTACTACAAGGTTCCATATCACAAAGGGAAAGCTGGCATTGAGTTTGGGGGTAATTGCCCAAAACGTTTAGGAATAAGGGGCCAAAAAGGGACCAAAAATAAGCATTTTTCTAGTTTCCAGACAATAACTTGAGTTCAAGTGTATTGATCTCTCTGAAATTGTACTGCAAGGTACCATACCACAAAGGGAAGGCTGGGATTGATTTGGGGGTAATTGCCTCAAAATTTTAGGAATAAGGGGTAAAAAAGGGGCAAAAAAAAAAGAATTTTTCTAGTTTCAGGACAATAACTTGTGTGTAAGTGTATGGGTCTTTATGAAATTGTACTACAAGGTTCCATATCACAAAGGGAAAGCTGGCATTGAGTTTGGGGGTAATTGCCCAAAACGTTTAGGAATAAGGGGCCAAAAAACAAGCATTTTTCTAGTTTCCAGACAATAACTTGTGTTCAAGTGTATGGATCTCTCTGAAATTGTACTGCAAGGTACCATACCACAAAGGGAAGGCTGGGATTGATGAATCATAAGGGGGTTAAAAAAATTTGGGGCGGGGGGGTTTCCTTTCTTTTCTTTAAAATTTTCCATTTTAAATTGGTTATTTCTGATTTATATATAAAAGCAAACAATAATGATATGGTTTGAATAGGTAAATTAAAAATTTCTAAGTTCTTGGACCACATTCATTCTGTGTCAGAAACCTATGCTGTGTCAAATATTTAATCACAATCCAAATTCAGTGCTGTATCAAGCTTGAATGTTGTGTCCATACTTGCCCCAACTGTTCAGGGTCGACCTCTGTGGTCATATCAAGCTGCGCCCAGGGGAGCATTTTATTTTTAGTGCTGAGACTCCTCAAGTTGTGGAGGTCATAAGTTTGATATCTGGCCAGGTGAAATTGAGTTAAGAATTGGTATTTGCTGCTTTTTCTCCATTAGCACTTATCATTTAGACTGATCAGCTCGAAGGCAGAATGTAATATGTCCTCCTGCAGACTTTTACATCCTGTCAACTAGCAGGTTAATAATCGGACACAATTTGTCAATCTAATAAATCCCCAAGCAGGTTTCATATACTTATCATATTTATAAACATGTTATTGTGCTGGATATGTTTGTAATAGTTGTGTCTGGACAATTTGTTGCCTTAAGTCAATCCTTCAATAATACACTATTTACAAATATTTTCCTCTCTAAATCAAAAGCTAGACCCATCCCTTTGTTACATCATCCTCGATAATTGCATGAAAAATTTGCACTGGAGGATAAGCAAACAACTGAGTGAGTCACTTTCTTGTTACCCAATATTCATGAGTTATAGTTAACAAGTGTTTAGGTCCAACTCCAATTTTCGGATTTCTTACAACAGCTATTCTGTCCGTTACCTTCATACAGCAGCTGTTCTGTTTAACCTTCATACACCATCTATTCTGAGTTACCTTCATACACCAGTTGTTCTGTGTAACCTTCATACACCAGCTATTCTGTGTTACCTTCAAACAGCAGTTGTTCTTTGTAACCTTCATACACCAGCTAATCTGTGCAGCTGTTCTGTGTTACCTTCATACAGCTGCTGTTCTGTGTAACCTTCATACACCAGCTATTCTGAGTTACCTTTACACCAGCTATTCTGATTTACTTTCATACACAAGCATTTCTGTGTTACCTTCATTCACCAGCTATTTAATGGTACCCTCATACAAAAACTATTTAAGATAGTACCTTTATACACCAGTCATTATACGACCCCAAAAATTTTTTGGGATCATATAATGGTATGATGTCATCGTCTATGTCGTCTCGTTGTCATCCGAAGACACGTTGGTTTCCGGACAATAACTTTAGTTTAAGTTAATGGATCTCTATGAAATTTTTTAAGAAGGTTCAATACCACAAAAGGAAAGTTTGAATTGATTTTGGGGTTGATGGTCCCAAACGTTTAGGAATTAGGTGCCCAAAAGGGGCCCAAAACAAACATTTTTCTAGTTTTAGGATAATAACTTGTGTATAATTATTTCGGTTGCTCTGAAATTGTACAACAATGTTTAATACCACAATTAGAAGGTTGGGATTCATATAAGGGGTTATGGGGCAAACAGTTTAGGAATTAAGGGCCTGAAAGGGGCCAAAAACAACAATTTTTGTAGTTTCCGGACAATAACTTGTGTGTAAGTGTATGGATCTCTCTAATATTGTACCATAAGAATCCATATCACAAAGGGAAGGCTGGGTTTGAGTTTGGGGGTAATTGCCTCAAACATGTAGGAATTAGGGGCCAAAAAAGGGCCAAAAACATGCATTGTTCTAGTTTCCAAACAATAACTTGTGTTAGATGTGTATGGATCTCTCTGAAATTGTACTTCAAGGTTCCATATATACTACAATGGAAAGAATTGGATAGAGTCTTGGGGTAATGCTCAAAGGGGGATTCCAAAAGTCGTGCGGGGAGGGGGGGGTTCCAATTTTTTTAAGGAATTCATATTTTTTTCAAAAATTTTCAAATTTCAAATTTTGTAAAAGTTTCAAGAAGTAATCTTCAATTGCACAGTATTGCGCAATAGATTTGTAAGATCTTTTACCACATTAAGTTTGTGTCAGAAACCTATATTATGTCAAAAATTTGATCACAATCAAAATTCAGACAGTATCAAGCTTGAATATTATATCCAAATTTGCCCCAACTGTTCAGGGTTCGACCTCTGCGGTCGTATCAGGCTGCGCTCAGCAAAGCATTTTATTTAAATTGGAGTTATCTTCCTTTGTCCATGATTATAGTTGAATCAACTACAATCAATGCTTTATACAATGCAATGTTTAATTTTTACTTCCACTGATAAAACACAGATCAAGTTGAATTTGGGTAGTGTCACTTTAACCATTATTGAGTTATGCCCCTTTATAAATCGAAAGATTGCAAATTTTTAGTTTCCATTCTGTAACTTAAGTTTGCCCTAACCAAACATTATGAAACCTATATACACAATATTCATTACAACAAAACTAAGATCAAGTACAAATTTTTTGTTTCTGTTTTCTAACTTTAGTTTGCCTCAACCAAATGTTATGAAACTTATACACAATGCTTATTACTACATAATACAGATTAAGTACGAAATTTGGTGGTGACACTTCTCCATTCTTAAGTTATGTCCCTTTATAAACATAAAAATTGCTGAATTTTTCGTTTCCGTTCTCTAACTTTAGTTCGTCTCAACCAAATGTTATAAAACTTATACACAACTGTTCTAGGGTTATGCGTGTTTACAAATAGAAAAATTGCTGAATTTTTAGTTTCTGTTCTCTACTTTAATTAAGCCTCAACCAAATGTTATGAGACTTACACACAATGCTTATTACCACAAAACTCAGATCAAGTTCAAATTTGGGTAGCGTCACTTTTACCGTTCTTCAGTTATGTCCCTTTATAACTATATGATATGCAAGTGGGGGCATCATCTGTGTCCACATGTGGACACTATCCACATTTATTTTTGTATAGGTGTTCAATTCATACCAGAGTCAAATAAAGCAGGGCTTCCAAAAAGTATTTGAGCCAGCCGGACATTTTTATCTTATCCCGATTTTTATCCCATAAGACTTAGTAACAAAAGGCAACCATAGTAATCAGTTGGACATCATATGAATTATCATTATTATGATTGACACAAAAACGGTATTTGACTTAATTTTTAATATAAATTCGATGTTCTGGCGCTAACTGATAAATTGGCAGTGCACTATTCGCAGTGTGCAACATCAGAGTATTAATATCAGTCTAAGACTCTTTATTTGTGCAAAATAACGCTGTCAATAACTTCACTTTCGTTTTTAGAAAGCACTTTTACCGGATGTTGACAATGGTAAAACACGGACCAGAGACAGATACGTAAAATCTGTGTACGTTTCAAAGCACGATTGAGTTTTTAAAGTAGATCTTTCCACGTTTTTTTCTACAGAAAAAGACTCGACAAGTACGTTAGATATAGGTATCAATGATATTTTTAGCATTTTTGAAAATTCGGATGCATAATTGAATCTCACACCTGCACACATGCGCACGAGTGTACTAAGTCAAACAACGGTGGTCCTGACGATTCTTCTCTTAAAACCTTTATTGCTACCTTTTTAAATTTTCATCAGTTCATATTTATATATGTTTTCTGATAATCTGAATCTTGTTGACAAAATTAATTCGATACAAACCGCTGAATTTTAAGAAAATAACTTTTAATAATTAGACTGTTAAATGTCCGGTACAAAATAGTTCACCTGTTGCCTGAACAGGTAAAATCAGTTGTCAGAGAACTAATTAATCCTGATTGTAATGAGAGGGTATTATAGTACGGTTTGTTTTGATAGTAATTATAATCATGTCACTTATATGACCGGAAATGTGTAGCTGTTTAAGGCAAAAGGTCAGCTCAAAAAGATCGAATAAACTTCGATTTTTTTCTTTCATTTTAAAATGTCCGTTTTTTTTCTAAACTATATTTTAAAATGACCGTTTCAGTCTTAGCACAACAAGTCATTTATATAATTTATCGGACTTGTCTGGAATATATGACCGTTTTGGAAGCCCTGAATTAAAGTAACAGTTGTTTCAGTTTATGTCTTAAATAGTCATTTATAGTTGCACAATTACATTAGTCCTCTTGTCAGAATCTACCAACTAAATATCTAGCACTACAAAGAACTTTTTTTTATATCAAAAAGGATAAGAAAGTATCATATATCAATTAAAATGCAATTAAAAAACTATGCTGTTTATCATCTTAATGAAATTCATTGTTTTTCATTAAAAAGATATAAAATTTAACAAAGTTAAGCAACTTTAAACAATAAATTGAAACCATGCATTTACATGGAAATATATACATTTATCAAGGAGATCTAACCAAAAGTCTGTTAATGCGTGTGGAACGCGTAATTTTCACTTTTGAGGTCATTATTCTTTTGTCATCTGTTCAATTCAGGCGTCTGTAATTATAGTAAGAATACAGATTTCGGTCATAGCTGGTCTGCTTCCGATGAATCCTGCCTCCGATCGTACAAATATTTTAATGGCGGACGAAGAAAATTTACGAAAATAAACAATGTTTGACAAGCAATTTGGAAAGGAATATGACGCTTTTAATGTAATGAATGGATCAAGCATTAACTAAAGGCAATTTTGATCACTTTCTAACGAAGTAACAAACTTATTTTGCCGAAAAACAGAATGTTTTGATATATACAATCTCGAGTATCAAGTACCGGAAGTGTCTGAATTTCTTCACTTTTAAATGAAAAATATGCTGTTTCAGTGACTTGGTAAAAAGGGGAAATTGTCGATGACGAAAACGATTGCAAGCGACTATTGTGGAATCACTTTTGACGGTCAGGCAAAGCGAAGTGACGGACGGGAAAGCAACTTTTTCGGCTCAGTCGCCTGCTAGCGTGAGCCCTGGGTATATGGCTCTAATCTTTTAGGAAAAAGGGGCCAAAAACAATTCTTTTCTAATACTTGGTATATTGCTTATTTCTTGAAATATCAATGAGGTTTTATTCAAAGTCTTGAATTTTTGGGGTTCTTCAATATGATGAATCTAACCATGTATTTAGATTTTTGATTTTGGGCCCAATTTTCAAGTTGGTCCAACTTTGGGTCCATAATTTGAATTTTGGAATTTGGGTCCCGTTTATCAAAGTGGTTCACATTGAGGTCCAAAGGGTTCCAAATTAAATTTTGTTTGATTTCCAGGGGTCACCACACCAGGCATTGTTAAACGACATTATCGCCCAGGATATTCACTTCCTGTCATTTAGACGGGGAAAATAGGGAGCTTTCCTTGTTGACATTGAATATGGTTAGACTTAAAATAAATAGATTTAGGAATTCTTTTTATCTGGATCATGATAAATAAAGATTTAGATTTTAATACATTATTATATTATTATTTAAAAAAGTGGGGGTATTATTATACTGTTTTATCTCTGTCTGTCTGTCCGTCCATCTGTCTGTCCCATGAACATTTTTCGTTGCATCTTTCTCAGGAACTACATTACAAGGATTTCTGAAATTTGGTTTCAGGGTTTATATGAGTCGGCTATACCGTGTGATGCTTTTTCAGATTCATCACTCAACAAAAGTTAATCATTTTGAGAATTTTTAAAATTTTTGTGTGGGGGTTCTATGATTTTGCTGTATTTGTTTCATTAAGCACACTCTTGTGCAAATATATGCAGACTAGTTTGAAAAAAGCTTTGAGATGCAGCAAAATTTGATCACTATTATTTGGTAATTGGTATTCTATGATATGCTGAATCCAACCATGTATTTATATTTTGAATATTGGACTATAATAGGTAAATGTCCCATTTCAAATTTTTTAGTTCTTAGACCAAATTCATTCTGTGTCAAAACTCTATGTTGTGTCAAATATTTAATCACAATCCAAATTCAGAGCTGTATCAAGCTTGAATGTTGTGGCTTTACTTGCCCCAACTGTTAAGGGTTTGACCTCTGCGGAGCATTTTATTTTTTATTTAAATTTACTGTTAATTAAGCAGTATACATTGTCTCTTCTGGTGGGTTACCAATATTTTATTAACCTTCAAAAGATTTTAATATGAAGTAGCTGTTAACTTCATATTTTAATTATCAATTTGGCGATTTCTAATTATAATGGCAGTTGTCTTTCTTTAAACATTAAAGGATGTTTAGCACTGTGAAAATAGACAGGAAAAAGGAAATCACAACACTGGAAATGCTGATTACTTATAGAAAATGTATACATAAGTTTTACTATAGCAGCTGTTCAAAAATGTACAAATCTTTTTTTATACGACCGCAAAAAAAATTTGTGGTCGTATATTGGTATGACGTTGGCGTCGTCGTCGTCGTCTGAAGACACATTGGTTTTCGCACTCTAACTTTAGTTTAAGTGAATGGATCTCTATGAAATTTTACCATAAGGTTCAATACCACAAAAGAAAGGTTGGGATTGATTTTGGGGGTTATGGTACCAACAGTTAAGGAATTAGGGGCCAAAAATAAGCATTTTTATACGGCCGCAAAAAAATTTTTGTGGTCGTATATTGGTATGACGTTGGCGTCGTCGTCGTCGTCCGGCGTCGTCGGCGTCGTCCGAAGACACATTGGTTTTCGCACTCTAACTTTAGTTTAAGTGAATGGATCTTTATGAAATTTTACCACAAGGTTCAATACCACAAAAGGAAGGTTGGGATTGATTTTGGGGGTTATGGTAATAACAGTAAAGGAATTAGGGGCCAAAAAGGGGCCAAAAATAAGCATTTTTGTAACTTCCAGACATAACTTGTGTGTTAGTGTATGGATCTCTCTGACATTGTACCACAAGGTTCCATATCACTAAAGGAATGCTGGGATTGATTTTGGGGGTAATTGCCTCCAAATTTTAGGAATTAGGGGCCAAAAAAGGGGCAAAAAACAAGCATTTTTCTAGTTTCATGACAATAACTTGTGTGTAAGTGTATGGATCTTTCTGAAATTGTACTACAAGGTTCCATATCACAAAGGGAAAGCTGGGTTTGAGTTTGGGGGTAATTGCCCTAAACGTTTAGGAATTTGGGGCCAAAAAGGGGCCAAAAAACACATTTTTTTCTAGTTTCCAGACAATAACTTGTGTTCAAGTGTATGGATCTCTCTGAAATTGTACTGCAAGGTACCGTACCACAAAGGGAAGGCTGGGATTGAGTTTGGGGGTGATGAATCATAATGGGGGTTCAAAAAATTTTGGGGGGGGATTTATTTTTTTTTCCTTTTTTTTCTTTTTTTCCTTTTTTGTTTCTTTTAAAATTTTCCATTTTAAGTTGGTTATTTCTGATTTATATTTAAAATCAAATAATAATGATATGGTAGGAGATACACACCAAACAGGATGTGTAAATTATTATATAATAAGTATTGTGCAATAGCAAGAAATTTTCAATTGCACAGTATTGCACAATAGCAAGAAATCTTCAATTGCACAGTATTGCGCAATAGCAAGAAATCTTCAATTGCACAGTATTGTGCAATAGCAAGAAATATCCAATAGCACAATATTGCGCAATAGCAAGAAATTGTCAATTGTACAGTATTGCGCAATAGCAAGAAATATTTAATAGCACAGGATTGTGCAAAAGAAGATACTTCCTATAAATTGCTTATTTCTTGACCAATTTCAATGGGGTTTTATTGTCGAGCCTGCGACTTTTGTCGCAGAAAGCTCGACATAGGGATAGCGATCCGGCGGCGGCGGCGGCGGCTACGGCGGCGGCGGCGGCGGCGTTAGCTAACTTCTTAAAAGCTTTATATTTTAGAAGATGGAAGACCTGGATGCTTCATACTTTGTATATGGATGCCTCATGTTACGAAGTTTCCGTCAGTCACATGTCCAATGTCCTTGACCTCATTTTCATGGTTCAGTGACTACTTGAAAAAAAAGTTCAGATTTTTTGTAATGTTAAATTCTCTCTTATTATAAGTAGTAGGATAACTATATTTGGTATGTGCGTACCTTGCAAGGTCCTCATGCCCGTCAGACAGTTTTCACTTGACCTCGACCTCATTTCATGGATCAGTGAACAAGGTTAAGTTTTCGTGGTCAAGTCCATATCTCAGATACTATAAGCAATAGTTCTAGTATATTCGGTGTATGGAAGGACTGTAAGGTGTACATGTCCAACTGGCAGGTGTCATCTGACCTTGACCTCATTTTCATGGTTCAGTGGTTATAGTTAAGTTTTTGTGTTTTGGTCTGTTTTTCTTATACTGTATGCAATAGGTCTACTATATTTGGTGTATGGAATGATTGTAAGGTGTACATGTCTAGCTGGCAGGTGTCATCTGACCTTAACCTCATTTTCATGGTTCAGTGGTCAAAGTTAAGTTTTTGAGTTTTGGTCTTTTTTTCTAATACTGCATGCAATAGGTCAGCTATATTTGGTGTATGGAATGATTGTAAGGTGTACTTGTCTAGCTGGCAGGTGTCATCTTACCTTGACCTCATTTTCATGGTTCAGTGGTCAAAGTTAAGTTTTTGAGTTTTGGTCTTTTTTTCTAATACTATATGCAATAGTTCAACTATATTTGGTGTATGGAAATATTTTATGATCTATATGTCAGTCACGCAGGTTTTATTTGACCTTGACCTCATTTTCAAGGTTCATTGCTCAGTGTTAAGTTTTTGTGTTTTCGTCTGTTTTTCTTAAACTATAAGCAATAGGTCAACTATATTTGTTGTATGGAAGAATTGTTAGCTGTACATGCCTGCCTAGCATGGTTCATCTGACCTTGACCTCATTTTCATGGTTCATTGGTCAATGTTTAGTTTACTTGGTTAATGTTAAGTTTATGTGACAGTTGTAATAAAGCTTTATATTTAGGACTATCAACATAATATCAATGATTAGTAAAGAAGGCGAGACATTTCAGCGTGTGCACTCTTGTTCTTGATTTCATGGGGTTCTTTAATATGCTGAATCTAACCGTGTATTTAGTTTTTGGATTTTGGGCCCCGTTTTTAAATTGGTCCACATTAAGGTCCAAAGGGTCCAAAATTAAACTTTGTTTGATTTCATCAAAAATTGAATTATTGGGGTTCTTTGATATGTCGAATCTAACTGTGTATTTAGATTCTTAAATTTTGGTTCCGTTTTCAAATTGGTCTACATTAAGGTCCAAAGGGTCCAAAATTAAACTTAGTTTGATTTTAACAAAAATTGAATTCTTAGGGTTCTTTGATATGCTGAATCTAAACATGTATTTAGATTTTTTATTATGGGCCCAGTTTTCAAGTTGGTCCAAATCGGGGTCTAAAATTAAACTTTGTTTGATTTCAACAAAAATTGAATATATGGGGTTCTTTGATATGCTGAATCTAACCATGTATTTAGATTTTTGATTTTTGGGCCCCGTTATCAACTTTGTCCACATTGAGGTCAAAAGGGTCCAAAATTAAACTTTGTTTGATTTCATCAAAAATTGAATTATTGGGGTTCTTTGATATGCCGAATCTAACCGTGTATTTAGATGCTTAATTTTTGGTTCCGTTTTCAAATTGGTCTACATTAAGATCCAAAGGGTCCAAAATTAAACTTAGTTTGATTTTAACAAAAATTGAATTCTTAGGGTTCTTTGATATGCTGAATCTAAACATGTATTTAGATTTTTGATTATGGGCCCAGTTTTCAAGTTGGTCCAAATCGGGGTCCAAAATCAAACTTTGTTTGATTTCAACAAAAATTGAATATATGGGGTTCTTTGATATGCTGAATCTAACCATGTATTTTGATTTTTGGGCCCCGTTATCAACTTAGTCCACATTGAGGTCAAAAGGGTCCAAAATTAAACTTTGTTTGATTTCATCAAAAATTGAATTCTTGGGGTTCTTTGATATGCTGAATCTAACCATGTATTTAGATTTTGGATATTGGACCATAATAGGTGAATGTCCAATTTAAAATTTTTAAGTTCTTAGACCACATTCAATCTGTGTTAGAAACCTATGCTGTGTCAAATATTTAATCACAATCCAAATCCAAAGCTGTATCAAGCTTGAATGTTGTGTCCGTTCTTCCCCCAACTGTTCAGGGTTCGACCTCTGCGGTCGTATCAAGCTGCGCCCTGCGGAGCATTTTATTGTAACTTCCAGACATAACTTGTGTGTTAGTGTATGGATCTCTCTGACATTGTACCACAAGGTTCCATATCACAAAGGGAATGCTTGGATTGATTTTGGGGGTAATTGCCTCAAAATTTCAGGAATTAGGGGCCAAAAAAGGGTAAAAAAACAAGCTTTACTAGTTTCATGACAATAACTTGTGTTCAATGTATGGATCTCTCTGAAAGTGTACTGCAAGGTTCCATATCATAAAGGGAATGTTTGGATTGATTTTGGGGGTTATTGCCTCAAAATTTTAGGAATTAGGGGCCAAAAAAGGGGCAAAAAACAAGCATTTTTATACGACCGCAAAAAAATTTTGTGGTCGTATATTGGTATGACGTTGGTGTCGTCGTCGTCCGAAGACACATTGGTTTTCGCACTCTAACTTTAGTTTAAGTGAATGGATCTTTTTGAAATTTGACCATAAGGTTAAATACCATAAAAGGAAGGTTGGGATTGATTTTGGGGGTTATGGTACCAACAGTTAAGGAATTAGGGGCCAAATAGGGGCTAAAAATAAGCATTTTCTAGTTTCCAGACAATAACTGTGGAACGGTGTATGGATTTCTCTGAAATTATACTACAAGTTTCCATACCACAAAGGGATGGTTAGGATTTGCTTTGGGGGTTTATGGCTCAAACCGTTTAGGAATTAGGGGCAAAAAAGGGGGAAAAACAAGGTTGTCCTGGTTAATGGACAAATACTTTAGTACAAAACATAATTTAAAGCAGTGTAAGGGAGATAAATCAAATACATCATTGAAATTATCTCCCTTACACTGCTTTTAAATTATGTATAAAGTAATGGTTAATGAACAATAAAGATAATTTAAAACAGTGTAAGGGAGGTAATCCAAATACAACGTTTTGGTTACTTCCCTTACACTGCTTTTAAATTATGTTTAAAGAAATGCATATTTATAAAGGAAGACCAGTAAAAATATTTGCAAATGTTGCATCTTTTTTTTTTACAAAAAAATCCATATGAAAGATTTGACACTATATTTTTAATTCTATTATAAAATAGATTAAGTTAGCACTATGGTAAATTTAAATGGGTAATTATGGTTGCCAACTCCATTGGAAATTTGAATTGAGATTATGACCATATCTTGAGGGAAAGAATTTTTTTGGGGAAAAAGGGGGGGGGGGGGGATAAAAAGAAATTGTGGGGGGTCAATTTTTTCTCATTTCAGATTTCAGGAATTAAAAAGAATTATTCTTCAAATATTTTTTTTTCAAATTTCAAATATTGAAAAATTTTAAGAAGTAATCTTTAATTGCACAGTATGGCGCATTAGATTTGTAAAATCTTTGATCACATTTATTTATTTGTTATGCCGAATCTAACCGTGTATTTAGATTTTTAATGTTGGGTCCAGTTTTCAAATTGGTCTACATTAAGGTCCAAAGGGTCCAAAATTAAACTTTGTTTGATTTTAGCAAAAAATGAATATATGAGGTTCTTTGATATGCTGAATCTAAACATGTATTTAGATTTTTGATTTTTGGTCCAGTTTTCAAGTTGGTCCAAATTGGGGTCCAAAATTAAACTTTGTTTGATTTCAACAAAAATTGAATATATGGGGTTCTTTGATATGCTGAATCTAACCATGTATTTAGATTTTTTATTTGTGGACCCCATTATCAAATTGGTTCATATTGAGGTCAAAAGGGTCCAAAATTAAACTTTGTTTGATTTAATCTAAAATTGAATTATTAGGGTTCTTTGATATTCCAATTCTAACCGTGTATTTAGATTTTTAATTTTGGGTCCCGTTTTTTAAATTGGTCTACATTAAGGTCCAAAGGGTCCAAAATTAAACTTAGTTTGATTTTAGCAAAAATTGAATTCTTGGGGTTCTTTGATATGCTGAATCTAAACATGTGTTTAGATTTTTGATTATGGGCCCAGTTTTCAAGTTGGTCCAAGATAGGGTCCAGTATTTAAACTTTGTTTGATTTCAACAAAAATTGAATATATGGGGTTCTTTGATATGCTGAATCTAAACATGTGTTTAGATTTTTGATTATGGGCCCAGTTTTCAAGTTGGTCTAAGTTGGGGTCCAAAATTAAACTTTTTTTGATTTCAACAAAAATTGAATATATGGGGTTCTTTGATATGCTGAATCTAACCATGAATTAAGATTTTTTTATTTGTGGGCCCCGCTATCAAATTGGTTCATATTGAGGTCAAAAGGGTCCAAAATTAAACTTTGTTTGATTTCATCAAAAATTGAATTATTAGGGTTCTTTGATATTCCAAATCTAACCGTATATTTAGATTTTTAATTATAAGTCCCGTTTTTTAAATTGGTCTTCATTAAGGTCCAAAGGGTCCAAAATTAAACTTTGTTTGATTTTAGCAAAAATTGAATTCTTGGGGTTCTTTGATATGCTGAATCTAAACATGTGTTTAGATTTTTGATTATGGGCCCAGTTTTCAAGTTGGTCCAAGTTGGGGTCCAAAATTAAACTTTGTTTGATTTTAACAAAAATTGAATATATGGGGTTCTTTGATATGCTGAATCTAACCATGTATTTTGATTTTGGACATTGGACCATAATAGGTAAATTAAAAAAATTCAAGTTCTTAGACCACATTCTTTCTGTGTCAGAAACCTATGCTGTGTCAAATATTTAATAACAATCCAAATTCAGAGCTGTATCAAGCTTGAATGTTGTGTCCATACTTGCCCCAACTGTTCAGGGTTCGACCTCTGCGGTCGTATCAAGCTGCGCCCTAGCGAAGCATTTTATTCTAGTTTCATGACAATAACTTGTGTGTAAGTCTATGGATCTTTCTGAAATTGTACTACAAGGTTCCATATCACAAAGGGAAAGCTGGTATTGAGTTTAGGGGTAATTGCCCAAAACGTTTAGGAATAAGGGGCCAAAAATAAGAATTTTTCTAGTTTCAAGACAATAACTTGTGTTCAAGTGTATGGATCTCTCTGAAATTGTACTACAAGGTTCCATATCACAAAGGGAATGTTTGGATTGATTTTGGGGGTAATTGCCTCAAAATTTTAGGAATTAGGGGCCAAAAAAGGGGCAAAAAACAAGCATTTTTCTAGTTTCATGACAATAACTTGTGTGTAAGTCTATGGATCTTTCTGAAATTGTACTACTAGGTTCCATATCACAAAGGGAAAGCTTGGTTTGAGTTTGGGGATAATTGCCCAAAACCTTTAAGAATAAGGGCAAAAAAGGGGCCAAAAATAAGCATTTTTCTAGTTTCCAGACAATAACTTGTGTTCAAGTGTATGGATCTCTCTGAAATTGTACTGCAAGGTACCATACCACAAAGGGAAGGCTGGGATTGATTATGGGGGTTATTGCCTCAAAATTTAAGGAATTAGGGGCCAAAAAGGGGCAAAAAAATAAGCGTTTTTCTAGTTTCAGGACAATAACTTGTGTGTAAGTGAATGGATCTTTATGAAATTGTACTACAAGGTTCCTTATCACACAGGGAAAGCTGGGTTTGAGTTTGGGGGTAATTGCCCTAAATGTTTAGGAATATGAGGCCAAAAAGGGGCCAAAAATCAAGCATTTTTCTAGTTTCCAGACAATAACTTGTGTTCAAGTTTATGGATCTCTATGAAATTGTACTGCAAGGTACATGTACCATACCACAAAAGGAAGGCTGGGATTGAGTTTGGGGGTGATGAATCATAAGGGGGTTTAAAAAAATTTGGGGGAGGGGATTTTTTTCCTTTTTTTTTTCTTAAAAATTTTCCATTTTAAATTGGTTATTTCTGATTTATATATAAAAGCAAATAATAATGATATGGTTCGAATAGGTAAATTAAAAATTTTAAGTTCTTAGACCACATTCATTCTGTGTCAGAAACCTATGCTGTGTCAAATATTTAATCACAATCCAAATTCAGTGCTGTATCAAGCTTGAATGTTGTGTCCATACTTGCCCCAACTGTTCAGGGTTCGACCTCTGTGGTCGTATCAAGCTGCGCCCAGCGGAGCATTTTATTTTTCTCTGCAGACAGTCATGACAGTACATGTACATAATAAGAAAAACTGTAAACATTGATATTTTATGTAAATCAATTTAATTGCTGTAACTGCTAGTGCTATAAGTATAGTATTATCAAAACATAAATTTCAATTGGTCATATTTAGTGTTGTTATAGGTTGACATCACTTGAAAAATGACCATATGGAGAAATATTTCATATGCAGCTAGTTGTTAACTTTAAGGGAAAGAGGAGTTAGCACATATGTAGACATTTATGTGGGTCGCGGGTGCTCTCAAGTCAGACTATTTATCTAATTTTGCAATGCAATTGGCTAGAAACTATTTCCACTAAAATGTTAAAAGTAAATTGATATTGAGTTATACTGATCGAAGTAATCAGGACCTATGTATTTTACTTGTGATATTTTGTGAAAGGATATCTAGACCTGCTGGACATTACATGTTTTCAGGTACACATGTCCCTACTTTCTTTCTTTTCTGCACAATAAAATGTAAATGTAAAACTTTAATATAAATATTACAGGAACACTGACTAATGGCAAGAAATTCGATTCATCAAGAGATAGAGGAAAGCCTTTTGAGTTCAAACTTGGCGTAGGACAAGTAATCAGAGGTAAGCCATTTATGATTATAGTGCTTTTATACCCCACGCAACGGGTTGCGGAGGGTATAATGTTTTTGACCCGTCCGTCAGTCTATCTGTTCGTCAGTCCTGTTTCTTGTCATCGCAACTCCTCTCAAACCACCCAACAGAATTTCACGAAACCTTTTTAGATAATAAGGACATACTATGTAGTTGTGCATATCGACAGGAAATTGCGATTTAATTGTTTTTCTAGGAGTTACGCCCCTTTGAACTTTTTTACTTTAATGTACTACTGCAACAGTTTGTCATCGCAACTCCTCTCAAACCACACAACAGAATTTCATGAAACCTTTTCAGATATTAAGGACATACTACGTAGATGTGCATATCGACAGGAAATTACGATTCAATTTTTTTCCCAGGAGTTACGCCCCTTTGAACTTATTTGCCCAATATACTACTGAAACCTTTTGTCATCGCAACTCCTCTCAAACCACACAACAGAATTTCATGAAACTATGTAGATAATAAGGACATACTATGTAGATGTGCATATTGACAGGAAATTATGATTCAATTTTTTTTTCTGATACAATTTTTTTTCTTGCACTTATTTTATTTCTTCAATGATAATGTGGGGACGTGGGGTATGTGAGCGTGCTCACTAAGGTTCTTTCATCTACAATTATTCTAGGCCTGTTAATTTTGATCCCTGGGGGAATGGAATAAAGCTTTACAATAGTAGTTATTCAATTTGTTTTATTTTTTGTTGTTGCTTTCTTAAATAAATTTTCATTTCTTCATACACAACCATAAAGAGAAGGTTGTATCGAGACACTTTCACTGGAGGGAAAAGGATACATTTGTTAAACAACTGTAACAAACATAAATGACAATGCTTTTGTTTATAAAATAAAATGACTAATTCTACCTTATTATTTTTGTAGGATGGGATGAAGGAGTAGCTCAGGTTTGTATGATATTGTTTTATTATTACACGACTCATTGGCATTTTATTGTCAACATTCTTGTTTCTATAAAAAAATTATCAAAATAAGATGAAATTAGAATTCAACATTTAATGTTAAAAATTTGCATTTTTTCCTACCCTTTAACTTCTTGTGATTTTTCTATGACCGCAAAAAAAATTTTGTGGTCGTATATTGGTATGACGTTGGTGTCGTCATCGTCGTCTGAAGACACGTTAGTTTTCGCACTCTAACTTTAGTTTAAGTGAATGGATCTCAATGAAATTTTACCATAAATTTCAATATCACAAAAGGAAGGTGAGGATTGATTTTGGGGGTTATGGTACCAACCGTTAAGGAATTAGGGGCCAAAAAGGGGCCAAAAATAAGCATTTTTGTAACTTCCAGACATAACTTGTGTGTAAGTGTATGGATCTCTCTGACATTGTACCACAAGGTTCCATATCACAAAGGGAATGCTGGGATTGATTTTGGGGGTAATTGCCTCGAAATTTTAGGAATAAGGGGCCAAAAAGGGGCAAAAAACAAGCTTTTTTCTAGTTTCATGACAATAACTTGTGTGTTAGTGTATGGATCTCTCTGACATTGTATCACAAGGTTCCATATCACAAAGGGAATGCTGGGATTGATTTTGGGGGTAATTGCCTCCAAATTTTAGGAATTAGGGGCCAAAAAGGGGCAAAAAAAAAGCATTTTTCTAGTTTCATGACAATAACTTGTGTGTAAGGGTATGGATCTTTATGAAATTGTACTACAAGGTTCCATATCACAAAGGGAAAGCTGGAATTGAGTTTGGGGGTAATTGACCAAAAAGCTTAGGAATAAGGGGCCAAAAATAAGCATTTTTCTAGTTTCCAGACATTAACTTGTGTTCAAGTGTATGGATCTCTCTGAAATTGTACTACAAGGTACCATACCACAAAGGAAAGGCTGGGATTGATTTTGGGGGTAATTCCATCAAAATTTTAAGAATTAGGGGCCATAAAAGGGCAAAAAACAAGCATTTTTCTAGTTTCAGGACAATAACTTGTGTGTAAGTGTATGGATCTTTATGAAATTGTACTGCAAGGTTCCATATCACAAAGGGAAAACTGGGTTTTGAGTTTGGGGGTAATTGCCCTAAACGCTTAGGAATTTGGGGCCAAAAAGGGGCCAAAAAACGCATTTTCTAGTTTCCAGACAATAACTTGTGTTCAAGTGTATGGATCTCTCTGAAATTGTACTGCAAGTTACCATACCACAAAGGGAAGGCTGGGATTGAGTTTGGGGGTGATGAATCATAAGGGGATTCAAAAAATTTGGGGGGGGGGATTTTTTTTTCCTTTTTTTTCTTTAGAATTTTCCATTTTAAATTGGTTATTTTCTGATTTATATATAAAAGCAAATAATAATCATATGGTTTGAATAGGTAAATTAAAAAAATTTAAGTTCTTAGACCACTTTCATTCTGTGTCAGAAACCTATGCTGTGTCAAATATTTAATTACAATCCAAATTCAGTGCTGTATCAAGCTTGAATGTTGTGTTCATACTTGCCCCAACTGTTCAGGGTTCGACCTCTGCGGTCGTATCAAGCTGCGCCCCAGCGGAGCATTTTATTATATATTTTCTGAGGATAAAACTTCTTAAAACAAGGACAGTTAAACAATAGTCTAAAATTTAGACCTTTGTCCTTTTTAGCCACCTTAGACTCTTTAAACTTTGAAGCTAATGAGCTACTTGCTCTTGCAAAATGCAAACAGAAACTGTTAAGTTTTGTTCTCTAACTTTAGTTTGCCTCAACCAAATGTTATGAAACTTATGCACAATGCTAATTACCACAATACACAGATCAAGTTTGAATTTTGTTGGCATCACTTTTACCATTCTAGAGTTATGCCCTTTAAAAATGGTAAAATTGCTGAATTTTTTCGTTTCTGTTCTCTAATTTAAGTGCACTGGACGTTAAGCAACCAACAATCAATCAATCAATCTAATTTAAGTTTACTTCAACTTAATGTTATGAAACTTATAAACAATGCTTATTTCCACAAACTCAGATCAAGTTCAAATTTTGGGTAGTGTCACTTTTACAGTTCTTGAGTTAATGGCCCTTTATAAAGTTATATTCAAGCGGGGGCATCATCTGTGTCCCATGGACTCATTCCCCATTTATCATGTTTATTTTTCCATGAAATAAAATATTGACTGACTTGTTTAAAATGTGAACTATATAATTTATCATGACATATATATATTTACAGATGAGTAAAGGAGAGCGAGCCATGCTGACTTGTTCACCTGATTATGCTTATGGAGACAAAGGTGCTGCAGGAGTATATCCTTTAAAATTAACTTATAACAAAGCATCTTTCATACTCAAATGTTGCTTTGTATGTAATATTATTCAGATCTTAAATACATGTTAGGATGTATTATTTTTGAGAGTATACAAATCTTCCTAAAATTAGGGGGCGGAAAACAACATGCTAATTCTAGAAATAGGATTTTGTGTCGTTTGAGAAGACAACAAATCATGGATTATTCAGTCAAATATATTGACAAAAATCAAGTGAAAAACAATAGAAATTACATTTAAGATACATTTGTAATACATTAGAATTTAAAAATAAAATTAAATACATTGTTTTGATAATTTCTAGATTATCCAGTAAGTCTTAAAACAACTAGATTTAAAAGTATTTATAATTGACTTGTTACAGAGAAATTATGGAAGCTTATCCATTTAATTGGACCTAAAAAGGCAAAAGACTTTTAAACATATTTGTTCTTGTCTTAGGTATATTCAATAATTGGATGCTATTTGATATTTAGTTGCATTCAAATACTGACTCTGCAAGACCCTCATTGGTACTCAATGTCTTTAAAAACCCTCCTCGTTGTCGCATTCAATTTCTATTTGTTACAAATGAGATTTTGTTTGACAACTATTCTTGGACAGATCCATATAAACATCTATTGACGTATAGCCTTATGGTAGATTTAGCAATCATTAATTGCATACAAAAAAAACATAATTTAATACATGTAGGTGTCTCATGGAGGTCCATGGCTAGACAATAATAAACAGCACAGTTTCTGTCTGCCCTGCCTAGAAAAACTTGGAAGAGCTGTTTCCAAGGTCAGCTACATCAACTGACAACTGATTTGTTTTGCTTTATTAATATATACCGGGTATAATATACATCTAAATCATTACCGACAGTACTTAATAGATGATACCTATGTCAATTTTTTCTTAACTGATACCACTATACCTCCAAATGCTGTGCTGAAGTTTGATGTAGAACTAATTGATTTCAAATAGGCCACATCAACAGAAGAAGATTTTTTATATGTAGTCTTAATGAGTGTAGTGATTTTTATATGAAATTTTTTGGTTTTTTAGGGACAAGTTCAATTTTGTGCAATCAAATCTCAGATATTTTCTGTTAATCTACATTGGAATTTAAATTATCTTTCAGTTTTGTATCGTATATGTATTGCATAGTTATGCAAAGAGAATTGTACCATGGATTTGAGTATCGGTATCATCTCAGGGTGAAAATGCTAATAATATGCATTCTGTTTGTCGATCAACAAATACTATTCAAGATCATTTTTGTCATCACAATGAAATCATTCTACTTTTTTAAAAACTTTTGGCATAATTTAACTATTTAATGTAATACAATATACTCTTTTTTTTAAATTTTTGATATTATGTTGTGATGTACATGTAGTTTTATACATTGATCATACAATACATATTAAAAAAAGATCAAATTTGATTTTGTTGTCTTTCTACCAAGTTATTGTTGTGTCATGATAAAGAATAACAATTTAATTAACATATTAAATTACTAATCAATGGGAATTCCTCCTGCTACCTGTATTCTTAAACCTGTTTCTGTTTTAGTCCCAGGTCTTGAAAGATATCCTTTTCTGATCTAAGTCGTCTTGCTTCACATTCAACTATGTCATTATTGACGAAGGGTTAGAACCAATGTCTTTTCCCAATCTTAGTTGTTTCTCTTCAACCCCCTTGTAAAAACAAGAATACTATCTCCACAAACTGCCTCTGTGGTCCTGTTGTAGCATGTTTGCCTGGAGTGCTAGAGGTCATTGGTTCTATTCCCGGCCTGCTCAAACCAAATACTTGAAAATTGGTGTTCACTTCAATATTTCCACTTACCTGCCTCAACTAGTTGCAATTTCCCTCTACTTCCCCATACGTTTGTCGAGTTTTTTTTAATATAAATACGGTAATACCTCCAGTTATCTCCCTTGCCTAACTCTTCAGTTTCTCTCGGCGGCCGCCATTAAAGCACATGCGTTGCTTTCCCCGTACTCTTATTTGGATAATTAGAATTTGAATCGTAAGATGGAGAAACAGGAAGATAAGTTTAAGAAGTGTGTAAGGTGTCTAGACAAGATGAACAATCTGGATGAGCACGATGAGTGTTACAAACATCGTATTTGTAACGCGTCATTCACATGCAAAATTTTCAAAAATTTGTCAAAGGAGCATCAGAGTTTGATCATGAAAATGATTGAAAAAGTGTTCAGAAGACAATACACCTAATCGCTATTTATTCCATTCCGGATAAGTTCTAAAATTACACAATTTTTTCATCCAGTTGACGCTATCTGGGACCCTGTTTAAACAATGCACCATGCATGATACTTTTTAATGAGACCTGTTTAAAACATCGTAAATACTTCAAACACAATATTTTTTTTACTTTAATTTGAGTTTGGAAAAAGTGGATCATAATCTATCAAAGTTTCCTATTGATCGCTTTCTAAATTTTTCCCTCCCTCAGCTCGTTACTAATGACCTTTGTTTGCGGCCTGTTGACCCAAACAGGAAGTTGTCTAAATGACTGTTTTTTCCGGATTGGACTAAATAGCGATAAGGTGTATTAAATTGAATAAACTGTCTCAATCCGCCTGTGTAGACGGGTTGACAGATTTCAAAGACATAAGTCCACCTGTGGAGGCGGCAGTCAGAGCTTCAAAGGACGACACTGTCACTTAAGATACACCTGACAACAGCACTTGTATGGTCGATATTTCGGCAATTGTACAAGAACAGGTACAATTGCAAATACAAAACTTATTCAAAAAGAAATTGATTGATATCAATGCTAATGTTCTTGAAGTTCAACCTGCTGGAAAGCCTAGTTCTGCAACTTTGCAAAACCAAAGGCCACATTTTGACAAATTCAAAAGCTATGACGATCAGATGTCTTTAATGACGAATGTTGATCAAGATCAGGTTTCTTGATCCAGAAGAAAAGATTGATGATGGGTCTTCATCGCCACGATCTAGTCAAATGTTTACATGCACCCTAGTTGAGGTACCACAAGGGGCACCTGGTGCTTCTGATCTAATTGAGTGGGTTTCATTTATTCATAAAATGGCAACAGTTCTCAATATAGAACCTGAATCAGACTTAAGATCAGGAACGTCCTTCTTTTGTTTCGGAAGATTAAAAACTGACAAGAATGATAAAAAATCAGCAATTAAATTACCTTTGGAAGGTACAATTATTGACATGGTAAAATCTGTAGAAAAGGAAGCTATCTTTGGTCATTTGAAAAACAGAGCTGTTCGTGGCAGGGATGCTAAGGCTTTCATGGTTAAGAAAGATGATTTTAATGCTTTCTGTAGTCCTAAGTTAGATCACAATATTGAGGAAGGGCTAGCTATTGGTCATAAAGGCAATTCTTTTAAATCTGGAGTTTATATTCCACCTTTTCACAGAGAATTAGATAATGATTTTCGTCGTATAGACAATTCTGCCAGGGCACTTTTTAGAGCAGTTTCATATGGTACTATGATTTCTGCCTTTTTGGATGAGGCAACTTGTGAAGATGATAGGATTGAAGGACGTAAAGCATTAACTAATTGCTTTAGAAGTATGGCTGATTTATCAGGCAGAATCCTGGCAAATTCAGTATTCAGTAGAAGGAAACTTTTTCTAGCAAGTCCACAGAAAAGAAGTTGTTAAAGTTGCCCGTTTTTGGCAGTCAACTTTTTAATGGAAAATACTTTGACACACTGCATACATCAGCAGAAAATTTACGGGATGCTAGAGACCCATAATGTATATAATAATACTGGTAGTTATAGCAAGAACTTTAACAAGTCTAGAAATGATCGCACTCCTGTAAATGACTTTAACAGAAAGAGGAAAGGTGACTATTCTGACAATTCTGAACATGGAGCTAAATTTGCCAGAACTAACACTTACTATATATATATCTTTATTTCTAAAGTAAGTGTTTGTACCAAAGATAATTTTTCGTCCAGAAAATTTTTCAAGGAAAGGAAATTTTTTTCGGAAAGCAGCTGGGAACCCAAAAGGTTTCCCAGCTCCAAGGAAGTAAGTTCAAAGAACCTTGTACAAACTGTAAATATAAGTCCCCAAGTAGGGGCACGTTTGCTAATGTTTCACAGGAAGTGGACAAAGATCACAGGAGATCAGTGGGTTTTAGAAACTTTACTAGAAGGACTAAAACTGGAGTTTATGAGTCATCCATGTTTAAACATAAAAGAGACAAGTGTTCCAAGATATGGTATTCACGAGTCGGTAGTTTTAACAGAAATAAGTGTTTTATTAAAAAAAAATGTTAAAGAACATGTTCCTGTTGGGCAAGAAAACTTGGGTTATTACAGCACAGTTTTCGTAGTTCCGAAACGACTAGGAGGTCTGCGACCGATTCTCAATCTGAAACCTCTAAACCAATTAGTAGTGCCTCATCATTTAAAGATGGAAACTCTCCGTTCAATTATGAAAGCTTTAAAAAAAAAAAGGAGACTATGCAGTAACTTTGGATTTAGCAGATGCATATTTTCATATTCCAATTCACACAGATTTCAAACAATTCCTGAGATTCCGATTTCTAGGTCACAGCTACCAATTTCGAGCAATGCCGTTCGGGCTTAAATCTGCCCCAAGAGTGTTCACAAAGATCATGGCTGTATTGGCAACATACCGAAGAAAGTTAATGATTCAGATATTCATGTATCTAGATTGGCTAATCAGCAATTCAGACAGAACAGCTCTTGTAAAGCAAATGCATTTTGTACTCAGTCTAGTTCAAGATTTTGGGACTTCTGGTAAATCAGAAAAAGTCAAACTTAACTTTATTTGGCCTTTTTAATATTTTTTGATTCGAGCGTCACTGATGAGTCTTTTGTAGACGAAACGCGCGTCTGGCGTAAATATAAAATTTCAATCCTGGTATAAGTGATGAGTTTATTTAATACCAACCCAACATATAGAATACTTGGGAGCCCTTTTCAATCTAGAGAAAGGAATAGTAACACCAACAGAGACAAGATTTCAAAGTATTTTGGAAATAATACATGCATTACTAAACAGTCAACAGATTCAAGCAGTAGTAATTTTAAAATTACTAGGTCTGATGGCTTCACCTAATACCCATGGGAAGATTACACATGAGGCCAATCCAACTTTATTTGTTAGCACTATGGAGGCCAAACATCCAGCCATTGAATCAGTTTATTCCTGTACGAATGAGCTTGACAGTACATTTAAAATGGTGGACAAATCGGACAAATATTTTCAAAGGAATGCCTTTACAGGAGCCGATAATTCAGTTGACATTGATCACAGATGCTTCAGAACTAGAATGGGGAGCTCATCTAGAAACTTGGCAGACATCAGGAATATGGCCAAAGTCTAACCAACTAAAACATATAAATTGATTGGAATTGAAGGCTGCACAGTTAGATCTACAAGAAGCTGTACAAATCGTGAAAGACATGAATATTTTGATAAGGTCGGACAATACAACAGTGATAAGTTATATCAAAAAGCAGGGCGGAACCCATTCGCCAGAACTGTGTTACCTAACTTGGGACATTTACCAATGGTGTATTCAGAATAATGTAACTATCCGTGCAGTTCACATTCCGGGAAAGATAAATCTACTAGCAGATGCTCTTTCGAGGGGGGAAATCTTTTCAAGATGACAGAGTGGACACTCAACACTATGATAGTAAATATGATATTTCAGAAACTGGGCACTCCAAGTATAGATCTGTTTGCAACAGCTCAAAACAAAAAGTTGGCAGTTTATTGCTCTCCGGTTCCAGACATAGCAGCATTTCAAGTAGATGCTCTAACTGTAAATCGGAGCGGCATGTATGCATATGCATTTCCTCCTCCAATCCTTGTTCCTCGGATATTACAAAAGATTCGAGAAGAAAAGACAGTTGTTCTTCTAATAGCACCAATGTTGCCAAGACAATCTTGGTATCCTCAGATGTTGGATCTACTGATAGATATTCCTCTTTTGCCAGATCTGCTTTCACAAATTCACAATCAAATATTTCATCAGAGTCCAGAAACATTGAATCTTTTGTCATGGAAATTATCAAATTGCGCCATAAGTCAAAAGGATTTTCTGAAAAAACTGCAGAAAAAGTAAAATCACAAAAATACTGAACTCCGAGGAAAATTCAAAAAGGAAAGTCCCCAATCAAATGGCAAAATAAAAAAAAAACACATCAAACAAATGGATAACAACTGTCATATTCCTGACTTGGTACAGGCATTTTCTTATGTAGAAAATGGTGGATTGAACCTGGTTTTAAAGCTAGCTAAACCTCTCACTTGTATGACAGTCGCATCAAATTCCAGAAATTATGGCAAATGCCAGAAAAACATCTACTCAAACAGTGTATGATGCAAGACTCAGAATATATGACAGTTGGTGTAAAGAACACGATTCTTCAACTATACCAGAAGTAGCT